CTCAGAGGCACAGCTATGTGTGTAAAGTCTAGAGAATGCCTTCCGGTGTAGGCTGCAGGCCAGCGTGGGCACCAGGAGCTGAGCGAGCAGATGACAGTCTGGGCATTTCCTCTGCCATCGCCATCAGTGTAGATCCTCCTCATCAGTGTAGAACCACACTAGTGTTTCTAACATCTCAGGACTTTTGTCTGCCTTTCTTGACCTCCCTTCCCCCTTCAGTTACTGTCCTGTTTTTCTGGAAGACTTTCTAGCAAAACTCAAAAGCATTGGCTCTACTCAGTCTCCATCTTCTTCATTCAAGCTTTTTGTCCCCAGCCACTTCACCATCCTGGCCTTGTTCAGGCCACCAGTGATCTCCATGTTGCTCACTTGGATCAGCCCTCAGATGTCCTTGTCCTTGGTTGGTCAGCAGCATCTGATCCCTTTTATCCCTTCTTTGTGGCTTTCTTCCCTTGGTTTCCTGGATACCCACTGCGGTTCCCATTGAACGGCAGAGGCTGCTCCTTCTCTATCTCCTCTGATGGTTCCTTCGCATCTCCCTACATCTTCAAGCCGGGGTGCCCAGGGGCTGAGCCTGAACATCTACTCGTTTGCCCCTGTGCTCGCTCTCAGTGATCTTGTCCACTCTTGCAGTTTTACATACCCTTTGTTTACCAATTTGTATCTCCAATCAGCTTGTTGCTAGAGATCTCACATCTAGAATGTGGATGCACGTCTCTCACCACTGTGTGTCTCTACTGAGCATCTCAAACTCAGCATGTCCACACTGATGCCCTCCATCCTCCACTGTTCCTCCGCATCTGGCCAGCTACTCCATCAGGCCAATTGCTGAGGCTAAGACCTTGGTGTTCTCCTAGAAGCTCATCTTTTCCTCACACCGCAACACATCCATAAGCAATTGTGTGAGTTCTACCTGCAGAATATGTCCAATAACTGGCCACATCTCATCACTTCTCTTGCTACCACCCTGGTTCAAGCCATGTGGCCTCTCCCAAGGATTGTTTCAGTAACCTACTCTCTGGTATCCCTGTTACAGCCTGGCCCCTGCCTCTCTGGTCACAGTAGCCAGAGTGATCTCCCAGGTCAGTACGCCATTCCTCTGCTTGCTCATGCAAAGGAAAAGCCCAGATCCTTACTGTAGCACTGAGACCTCTTGACCACCCTCTACCTCTCCAGCCTCATCCCACCGGCTTTGTGTCCCCCACCCTCACTCTGCTCCTGGCACCGCCCCCACCCTGCAGTGCCCTGAAGACATCATGCAGTGTTCACCCCTGCTGCTCCTTCTGTCTGGAATGCTCATCTCCCAGATATCCCCAGGTCTCTGTGCAGAGCTAAGCCTCTCAGAGAGATTTGCCCTGATTATCCTACATTTAAAACTACATTCTTGCCTAAGCCTATATTCTTTATCTTCCTTCCCAAATATATTTTTCCTCCTAACACCCATTGCTTTACAATGTAATGTTTACTATACTCATCTACTTCCTATGTTTCTTTTCTGTACCTGCCCCAAACTCCATGAAGGCAGGGGTATGCTCTGTTCGCTCCTTTATCCCAATGTCTCCCCTGCTGGAGACTCGGGGGAATTCGGATGGGTGGGTGGGCGGGCAACGGGGGCTCCCTAGGTTTTCCCAGTACTGCCAAAATCCCGAGGAAGGTCTCCCATGGAAACCCCCATTTTCTTCCCACTGTTGCCCCATTCTGTAATGAGGAGACCACTTGGTGTTCATTCAAGCAATCAGGACGCTAAAGTAAGACCAGGAGACAATGAGATTTTTTTTAATAATTAAAAGAATTTTATTTAATATTTGATATAAATATTTATTATCTTTTTCCATTTCATAAAACAGTAATTCATGTAGCAGACAACTTGAAAACTACAGAAAGGTAGAAGAGGGGGAATGTCACCAGATTACCTTTAAATGAAGGTAGGCTGCATGTGACTTGCTGTATTTTCTGTCGGGTTTTGTTTTCCTACACACAAGTTTAAGAGGTGTGTTTCCTATGGATGGGTAAAAGGAAAGAAATTCATATATATGAATTTTACCCTGCCTTTTCCCACCTCACTTGATACAATAAACATTTTCCATCATGGACCATTGTGAACATCATCTTGGATACCGACAGAGTGTTCTATCAAGTGGATGAATATTTTGTATTTAACCAGTTCCCAGTGTTGGAACATTTTAATGACTTCCAATTTGTCATGCTTATAAATTATGCTAAAAGAAAAAAACAACAAAAAATAAATTATGCTGCAGTAAAGGGATAATTTTCTTTCAATCACAGCTTTTCTCAAATCATTCCCTTTTCACTGTGGGGCCCTGGGGATGGTCACTGAATCTGCATGAGAGAGCAGGATTGAGAGCCACGGGGATGGGGGAGGGGCGGAGATGGGGGAGGGGCGGCAGAGGATGAAGAAATGCCTTTTCACTTTAATTGTACATGTGCTGTGCAGTTACCTACAATTTGGAAAAGACACGTGAGTCCTCAATGTGTCCCAGCTTCAGCTGTGATCACCATGAATATGCATGACTTCTTAGTCTGCAATCCCATCTGGTCTCTTGCAAATTTCTCTTCCATCCCAGGTGTTTCTGGAGTCCCCACTGCAGGTCTCCCTTCTGTTACCATTGCTTGCTGACTTCAGCATTGTAGCTAGAAGTTTCTCTACCCCAAGTTTTTCTTTTCCTTTTTTTTTTTAGATAGAGTCTTACTTTGGTGCCCTTGGTAGAGTGCCGTGGTGTCACAGCTCAGACCAACCTCAAACTCCTGGGCTCAAGAGATCTCCTTGTCTCAGCCTCCCAAGTAGCTGGGACCACAGACACACAATACGATGCCTGAGTTTTTTTATTTTTTTTTATTAAATCATAGCTGTGTACATTAACACAGTCATGGGGTGCGGTGTGCTGGTTTTATATACAATTTGAAATATTTTCACCAAACTGCTGACTATTTTTAGAGAAGGGGTCTTGCTCTTGCTCAGGCTGGTCTCGAACTCCTAAGCTTAGCCAATCCACCTGCCTTGACCTCCCGGAGCGCTGGGATTATAGGCATGAGCTCATAAGCCACCGCGCTGGGCCTCGGTTTTCTTATTTGAAGACCTGTGCTTGCTTCTGCTGGATCCATGTTCCACACAGACAACTTGACCAACTAGAGCACAAAGGAAAAGGAAAGAGTTTATTTACTTCTGTAGCATGATGGGGTCCCGCAGTAGGTTTGCTTGAACCCCCACGTATTCCAGGGCTGGGTGAGGTCGATCTTCACTTTGCACATCCAGCCCTTCTCTGTCTTCACTGTTGGGCCTAACGTGGTGCCTGGCACAGAGGTGTCCCTGATTAACATTTGTGCATGGGATAATCTAATGAATGAATGGCCCATCGAGATAACTGGCAAAGGGAGAAGCCCAGGAGCACACGTGGCTGGTGGCAGAACCAAAAGGTACCAGCATCTCGACACCAAGTGCTCCCTCCCCTCCTCCTGAGGCCTGCTCACCTAAGTGGTATCCACAGCACTAACCAGCCTCATCCCATGTGCCTCTCCTTATTATGGCTTCCCCGGGGCCTGTCTCCCCTATAGGTCCTAAGTGCTATTCTCTCTCTCTCTCCTATAGTGTCCTCCATGCCCTGCCAGAGCCGGGCCTAAGCTATTGCTCATGACAAGCCAGGGAGGAGGAGGAGGCGGCACTGTGGAGTATGGGCCCCAGTGTCTGGCAAAGGAGAAGCCAGAATGTGTGTCCACTGGGTAAAAGTGTGTTGGGCTGCAGACAAAGCAAGAACACCCTCTCCCCACCATGCAAAGCAGTGGTTCCCAGCTTGGCTGCACAAACAGAACCATCTGGAGATCAGGTAAAATTCCGAAGTCCAGGTAATGCCCCAGACCAAGTAAAACCCAATCCCTGGAGTGGGATCCGGCCACTCATCAGTACTTGTTGAAGCTTCCAGGTAATTCCAACATGCAGACAAGTTTGGGGCAGCTTCCTAAATCCTCAGTCCCTGTCACAGGCCCCATTTAATTAAAGATCTGTTGAGTAAACGAATGAATGAATTTATGAGCCTTCACACCTTTGCCAAAAGCTGATGTGTCCCTTTCCCAGGTCTCAGGCTGTGATCTTGCTATCCAGTCACATTCTATTCTCTGTAAAATTCAAGATGATTTTTGAAATTCTGTATTTTCTTGTAGTAGGTTTCTTGTCTTTATATCTAGATATCTCATTCCTCTAAATAGAATCTAGAGATGTAAACTGTTTTTCAAATAAATTTTCCCAACTCATTCGAGGTGCCACCTTTATCACGTGCCATGCTCATGTCATTCAGCCATATTTCTAGCACACCTGCTGGGGGCCAAGTACTAATGTTAGCATCCTCTGAGTGGGTGATCATCAGAAGAAAAGAATTTCAGGACACACCTTGAAAAGGTGAAAGTGAAAGTACATTCTCTCTAGAGACAGAACTGGCAGGCCCTAAGGCAAGTGTGTTCAAACTGTGGCCCACGGGCCACATGCGGCCCGCGGTGGACATTTATCTGGCCCACTTGGTGTTTTGGCCGCTGCTGCTGTCCTGCTTAGCAGCTGATTCGTCCCAGGGCCAACAGTCTGGCCCTCCAATGGTCTGAGGGACAGTGAACTGGCCCCCTGTTTAAAAAGTTTGAGGACTTTGGGGAGTTTGTCTTATGGAGTCATGCGAATTGAGGAGAGGGCAGGAGTTGTGTCTTACTAAGAATTTGGGAAGTAACTCCTAGGATTGAGCTCCCTCCCATTTTCACGTTTCGTTCGTGGCTTCAGAACTCTCAGTGTGATTTTAAGGACAGAGAAATTGTAAAATCACAATGCAAATGATAATGTGATTAGCCAAAGTTCATGTAAGGTGACCTAGACAGCGGATGAGCTGGTTGAAGCTGGTCCTTGTCTGTGGTTACCAAGCCCCTCAGTTAGACTTGATACCTGCACACAGTCCCACGAGTCCCCATGTCCAGCCCTGCCTCCTTCCTGGTCTGCTGCTCTAACACTACCAGGCACTGGAGATGCTGGTATGGACAAGAGGGACACCCCTTTGCCTTGCTGGAGAATACAGGCCACAGGAGAGGCAGACAGTAAGCACCCCCCCCACACACACACACACAACGGATGGCATTCCAAATATTTGTGGTCACCACTTTGAGAGAAGAGGACAGGATACTGAGAAAAACAGGAGGGACCTAAAGTCAAGGATGTGAGACGAGCCCCCTCTGAGAAGAAAGGACAGTGTCATTATGTATTTATTTATGCCTGCTTGGTTAGCGTTCCTCCTCTCGCTTGATGGGGACCACGACCTCTCCTGCAGTATCCACTCCCTCCCTACCTTCCCGGTCCACAACAGCCCTGCTGGGAACTCTGGGTCGCGGCATCTGGCTCAGTTTCTGCCGCAGATGAAAGTAGAGCTGGTTGAGCTGCATCAGCGCCAATTCCTGCTCCTTAGCAAGTTTCCTCAGCTCCTCAGCTGCGTCTGCCCGCGCTCCCTCACCCAGGGGCTTCCAGTTCTGCAGGAGGTACCTCACGTCTTGCAGGAGAAACAAACCAGCCCCAGCAGCACCCAGCACTCGGGTGTCCCTGGTCGTAACCAGACTTGAGTCTGCAAAGGCTCTCTGCACCTCTCCAGCATTCCAGAAAGGGATACAAAATTCCTGATCATAGTGGTGAAGCCAGGGTTGGCTTTGGCCAGCTGGTGGGCACGAAGTCTCCTGATGATGCTGACGCAGTTAGCAACACGCAATCCAGCAGCCGCAACTTCAGGCAGCGGCCATAGTCCTCCAAAAGCCTCATGCTCCGATGTCACCGTAGTTTTCACCAGTCTTCTAGCTTTGTCTCTTGCTGCTGAATTGCTTCTGTTCTCTAAGACATTTGTCAAAACATTGGTAATGGCCACTGCTACTCCCAACCCCTGCCCCAGCTGCAGAGAGCATGAGACTCCTTCTTGCTGTCATAGGCACTAGGGCCAAACCCAGTATGCTCGTAACTCCAGAAGCAGTGCCTGCAGAGCTGGCCACCATGCTGGTCTTGGTAAGCATCTTGTGGATGGAATCAACTTGGTCTGCAATGGTGTTAAGCTCTGGGATATTCTTTTCCAGCTCCTACTTGTTCAAGTCATAATGTAAAAGGAACAGTGTTTCCTCTTCTGACAGATTTCCATATGGGAAGGTCATACTCTTCTGTAGTATCAGCTTTTCAAGCAGGATGTGGTACAGCACAGTAGCCTTACCACTGTGGACAGTAAATAAGAATGATTAGTTTTCCAACTCTGGCAAAGGATCACTCACCAGCAAAGATAACAACATCTAGGTAATCTGAGTTCTCATGCCGGGGCAGGGCCCTGGGAATCAAGGTACAATGTGGGAAGCAGATACAGACAGAAGGTCCGCCTGTGGTCTGAAGCTGGGTGGCTGTGTGTTGATAGCAGGAGCAGAGTTTGAGCTAGCCCCATGCAGGCCTAGGCTGGCTGGCTACTCCATCCACCCACCGACAGTTCTCTCCCAAACATTTGTAAATACTGATGTGTTGAATAAAGCATAACTTAAAGCATTGCTGACTTGTCACCAACTCTTTTCCTAATAAGTAAATTACGTTAGGCATACATTTTTTTTCTTTCTTTTTCCTTTTTTATCCACTGCTAAGAGTCATAACACACGAAAGATTCTATTGAGGAAAATAAGAGAATATGGAGGTGATGCCTTGATTTCCTTTCGTTTTTTAATGTTTGGGGGTTTTTTGAGACAGAGTCTCACTTTGTCACCCTCAGTAGAGTGCTGTGGCATCAAAGCTCACAGCAATCTCAAACTTGGGCTTAAGTGATCCTCTTGCCTCAGCCTCCCAAGTAGCTGGGACTACAGGTGCCTGCCACAACGCCTGGCTAATTTTAGAGATGAGGTCTCACTCTGGCTCAGGCTGGTCTCGAACCTGTGAGCTCAGGCAATCCACCCACGTCGGTCTCTCAAGTGCTAGGATTATAGGTGTGAGCCACTGTGCCCAGCCCCTCTTTTTTTATTATTAAAAAAGCATCTACCTGGAAATTGTGGTTGCGCCTGAGGTGCTGGGAAACAGGATTTGGGGGAGACTTACTTTTTACTGTTTGCCCATGTGTTCCTTGTAACTTTTGTATCATGTACACGTGTTATAATTATTCAAAAAAACAATATAACCTACATTTGCAAAACAAAAGTAGAGGGACTTCCAATAAGACCAAATATCCCGTCTCCTGTCAGAGGGCTCCTTGTTACAGTCGTGTGTTTTTTCTTTTTTTTTTTTT